GTTTGATTCCCCACTCCTCCACTTGCACCTGGCTGGATGACCTTGGACAAGCTGTAGTTCTGATAAGAGCTGTTCTTGGAAAAAGAGCAGTTTCTATCAAGAGCTCTCTCAGCCCCACCGACCTCACAGGGTGTCTGTTGTGGGGAGGGAAAGGGAGAGGAGTTTGTAAGCCACTCTGAGACTCCGAGTGAAGGGTGGGCTATAAATCCAATCTCCTCCTCCTCCTCCAATACCCGCTTAGCACCGTCTGCTTCCAAGAATCTGGTCTTTAATGGGGGTGGGGGAGAACCAGCCAACTGGATTCAGTGCTTTAACACACAAGTGAAGGGTGGGCTGTAAATCCAATCTCCTCCTCCTCCAACACCTGCTTAGCACTGTCTGCTTCCAAGAATCTGGTCTTTATGGGGGTGGGGGAGAACCAGCCGACTGGATTCAGTGCTTTAACACACGCTGAAATATTGAAGCACCCTGCTGGCAGGTTATTGGGGAGTGAAGAGGACTAATGGAGTTAAATTTCACAAAGGTTTCAGTCGGGTCGATCAGCTGATGGACTCGGTCGGCGCAGGGTTCTGTGTAGCCCGCACAAGCCAGCCTGTCCTGACAGAAACAGTTTTAAGAGCATTCAGCAGGGTGCACAAGGGCATGTGTCGTGTGCCACCTCCTGTATACCAGGATTGATAACTTGAGCAAACACCGTAGTCAGTGCTTCTTTCAGAAGTAGTGCTACCCAAGTCACGTGGCTGGAAAATGAGGCACGGGGGGTTATGCTTTGGGACAAACGGTTGGCTTGTGGTTTGATGGGCGGGGGAGGGCTGTTCTTCTTCAAGCGGTGTTACGATGGCAGAATGCCAAGTTCCCACCAAGCTGGATAGGCAAGAGCTGATTGATCTTCTTCGTGGGTTATGCTTTGGGACAAACGGTTGGCTTGTGGTTTGATGGGCGGGGGAGGGCTGTTCTTCTTCAAGCGGTGTTACGATGGCAGAATGCCAAGTTCCCACCAAGCTGGATAGGCAAGAGCTGATTTTTTTTGCTTGTATGTGTATTGGGGAAAACCAGTCTCTCACTTTAAGTGAACCCCTTTTCTGTCCCCGTCCCCTCACTTTGGTCCCACTTCTGTTTTACTTGTGAGCTCTTTTTAAGGCCCGTGCATTGAGCTGCTGTTGATTTCCCACCAAGCTTGATCTCCAGGCTTCAACATTTGCAGGAGGGCGAGGGAAAATCCTGATCTAGCTCTCGGACTCCGTTGAGCCAGTTTGGTGTAGTGTTGAGGAGCACGGAGTCTAATCTGGGAGAACCAGGTTTGAGTCCCCCACGCCTCCACATGCAGCTGCTGGTGTCACCTTGGGTCAATCACAAGGTCTCTCAGAGCTGTTCTCTCAGGAGCAGTCCTCGAAAGAGCTCTCTCAGCCCCACCTACCTCACAGGCAGTGTTCCCTCTAAGCTGAGTTAGTGCGAGTTGGCTCAGTTTTTTAGCCTCCATCTCACAGATTTTGGTCTTAGCTCAGGAAGGATGGCTCCAAAACAAACTAATTTATGCAGTAGCCAAATGGCTTGCTCACAACTTTAATTCCAGTAGCTCACAAAGTAGAATTTTTGCTCACAAGACTCCACAATTTACAGGGAGCATTGCTCACATGGTGTCTGTTGTGAGGAGGGGAAGGGAAAGGCGTTTGTTAGCTGCCCTGAGACTCCTTCGGGCAGTGAAGGGCGGGGTATAAATCCATTCTCTTCTTTTTCAACAGTCTCTGGATTTAAAACATGAAGTTTTGGCAAGCGCAGATGCTTGTCACAAAACATTATGTAATTATGGGTAAGAATAGTGAAGGAACTGTGTTTTTGTGTGTGTTTATCTCTTTTGGTTCTTCTCTCTAATGTTTAAAACATTTTAAGTAAAGCCAATAAGAAGGAAGGAGGGGTTAAGTGAAAAAATCTAGTTGGTATAGTTGTTCTATAGGGTGATAGTTGTTTTCAATAATATCATTATTATCATTTTTATTAGTATATATATAAATTGTTTTGGTGTTAATGTAGGGGTTTTTTTGTGTATATATATATTTCCTTAGAGATTAAAATAAAGTGGAGTTCAATATTGCAGAATATTAGTGATGTGATCCTAAATAACCCAGAAGAAAAGCAAAGGGATAGAAAGACAGATTGTTATTCTCAAGATGTCTAAAAACAATGTGATTATGTTAAAATCCATAACGAATTGTTACAGTGTTGAAAGTACATGTGAAAATCTTTAAAGCTATAATTTATGTAAAAGAAAAGGCAAATTATTTAACAAATGATTTATTGTTTGATGCTGTGTTGGATATAAGATTACGGTGTTTCTTTTCTTTTTCTTTGGAAAACCAATAAAAAGAATTTTTTTAAAAACAGGAAAAAAACCATTTGTCTAAATAATTGTATATATGATACCGCAAAAGAGATTTTATTTGTTGTTTGTGCTGTTTCACAACAAATGGGATTTGCTGCAAAGTTCTGTACCTGAGAGGCATAAGCAGCAGACCTAACCAGTGCACGTTTGTTCTGTTTGTTTTTCTAGATCCTACGGTTCTGACAGTGAAAGCGATCGCAGTTACTCTAACTACCGAAGCCCGAGCGAAAGTAGCCGATACAGCTGAAAGTGGACTCCTGAAAATGTGGATTGTATCGAGCGATAGTTTCGTCTTTACATCAATATCGTGTAAAGAACTGTCTCACACCCACCCCGTGCTCAGAGTAAAAATGATGGATGCCTGATGACGTGCGGCCTTAACTTTGAGCAAAGCTGTTCTTTTCTTGCACAGTTATACTCTTCCTGGACTTGGACTTCCGGGCCAGGAGGCTGCATTCTATGCGGATTGGCTGGTCTCGTGACTTGAGAAGAGTTGTCTGCTGTATCAAAATAATCCCTTGGGGGACAGCAGGTGGTTCCTGGCCTATTCTCAGAAAAATGCTGGTAACTATGGAACTGTGAAGAATATTACTATTAAAAGGCTACCTTCTGTGTAGTTAATTTGAAAGTTTCTCTTACGCATCAACGCCTCAGCCCCGCAGTGTCCTGGACTTACACGATATAACCTGATAGGCATCCTTTGCTCTCTCGTGTGAACTGAGGCGGATCCTCTGTCTTAACCCGGCCCATTTTCTTTCTATTGGACCTTTTCACTGCAGAGGCAATTCCAGGGTGAGCTTTCTCACGTGACGCAAAACGTCACACTTCAGTTCAGGGGCTGGGCTTACGACTGTTACTTGAACCCATTGTAATGTGTATGCCGCTTGTTAATATTCCCAAATTGATACTAGATGGCTCCTTTTCAGTTTGGTATCAATCGAGGAATGACATCATTGTTACTGTCTGCAGTTGTTTTAAAAAAAACAAAAGACTCTGACACGGTTAGTCGTAAGGTCTACTCCCACCCGGGTGCAGTTTCCTCGAGGACCTTTAACGCGAAACTCGTTGGAACAAGCGCGACTCGAACCCGAGAGCTGCCATTGGGTTTTGCTGCCATCCGCTGGTTTAAGGTGGCCATCTGGTGGAAACGGGCTAGTACTGTACAGCTGTTTACAGTAGCCATGAAAGTAGACGTAGGAGTGCATTCTCAGCGTTCTGTACCAAAAAGACATTCTGTGCTCATAGCTGTAAATCGGTTTAGCAAAACGCATTTTCAAGTTGGAGGCACTGATTTTTTCCCCCCACCCCCAGTGCTCCAATTCAGAATTTCAGAAAATATACAGCTTTCGTACTGAATAATTACTCGGGGTGAGGGGTTTAAATTTTTTTTAGCAGAAATAGTTCTCTCATAGCGCGCGTCTGGTAGCACAGGGAGATGCCGCTCATAACTGTAGCGGCGATAACTGAGTTTGTTAACGTTCTATGATTTTGAGATGCCGTACATTTCTTAGGTGTTAAAAAAGGAAATCTTTTGCCAAGCACCAAAAGCTGAAAATTTTTAAAGATGTGCTTCTCCCCCCCCCCCTTGCGATTGAAATACGAATCATTAAGTATCGGATACTGGTCATTAGGTGTTACGCTTTGAAAAACACCTCAGGTGACTAAAACGAAGACCTCTTCCTCCTCTGTTTGTCCCTTACGCGTGAGGTTTAAGTTGAGCACATGTGGCGTTTTGGCCCAACGGAACTGAAATGACTAAAGACTGGATGGCTAATTGCTACAGACGTGGCCTCCTCCGGCACTTTATCCTAAGTATCGGCCGACCCTCTTTCAAGGGCAATTCTGCCTAAAGGAGGGGGAACCCTCAGATTTTGTATTCATTATTTTGTAAGCAATGAATATGTTTAAACTGCCATAAATCCTCGTATGTGTTCCATTGATTGCACGCTGTGTGTGTGTGTCCATTTTCTTTAATAACTCGCAAAACGGGATTGTACCGGTTGCAATTCCTGTGAGGTCCTGTCTCTTAATGTAATGGTGTTTCTCCAGCTAGTGAAGTTGAACACAATGTGCACATATAAGGTTGAGGATTTTAAGATGCTTTTAATTGCAGTCTGAACGCCCACAGCTCTGAGGGCCACTGTAGTGGTTTAGAGTTACCAGAGTAGGACCTGGGTTCAAATCACTACCCTGCCATAAAGTTCACCAGGTGCCCTTGGGCCAATCAGCCTCAGCCTACCTCAGAGGGTTGTGAGGATAATTTTTTAAAAATTTATATCTGGCCTTTCTCCCCAGTGGGGACCCAGAGTGGTTTACGTCATTCTCCTCTCCTCTGTTTTATCCTCACAAGAGCCCTATGAGGTAGATTAGGCCAAGAGTGTGTGTCTGACCCAAGTCCGCCCAGCACACTTCCATGGCAGAGTGGGGATTCATAAGAACACGAGAAGCCAATCTTGGATCAGGCCAGTGGCCCATCCAGTCCAACACTCAGTGTCACACAGTGGCCAAAAATACCAGGTGCCCTCAGGAGGTTCATCAGTGGGGCCAGGACATTGGAAGCCCTCCCACTGTTGCCCCCCACCCCAAGCACCAAGAATACAGAGCACCACTTGCCCCAGCCTGAGAGTTCCTATCTATACCTTCTGGCTAAGAGCCACTGTTCGAAAGCCAGTTTGGTGTAGTGGTTAAGTGTGCGGACTCTAATCTGGGAGAACCGGGTTTGATTCCCCACTCCTCCACTTGCACCTGTGGATGTGACCTTGGGTCAGTCACAAGCTCTGGCACAGCTGTCCTTGAAAAAGAGCAGTTTGTGTCAGAGTTCTCTCAGCCCCGCCTACCTCACGGGGTGTCTGTTGTGGGGAGGGGGAGGGAAAGGAGTTTGTAAGCCGCTCTGAGACTCCAAGTGAAGGGCGGGATATAAATCCAAATCTCTTCTCTCTCTTCTCTTCACTGATGGATCTCTGCTCAGTATGTTTATAAGAACATAAGAGAAGCCAATGTTGGATCAGACCAGTGGCCCATCCAGTTCAACACTGTGTCACACAGTGGCCAAAACTACCAGGTGCCATCAGGAGGTCCAGCAGTGGGGCCAGGACATTAGAAGCCCTCCCACTGTTGCCCCCCCCCAGCACCAAGAACAGAGCATCACTTGCCCCAGACCAAGCGTACCCGTCATCTTTATAGAAGATAAATTGGAACATCTGGAGCACTTTATATCTGTAATTCTGTGATGATGTAAAATGTTTTAAATGGTTTTAATTATGTTTTATATGTTGGCTTATGCCTGACTGTGAGCCGCCCTGAGCCCGCTTCACGGGGAAGGGCGGGTTATAAATTGATCTTATAAATATTAAATAAATAAATATCTATACCTTGTGGCCAATAGCCACCGATGGACCTCAGCTCCATAGGTTTATCCATAAGAACATAAGAGAAGCCAATGTTGGATCAGGCCAATGGCCCATCCAGTCCGACACTGTGTCGCACAGTGGCCAAAAATACCAGGTGCTATCAGGAGGTCCAGCAGTGGGGCCAGGACACTAGAAGCCCTCCCACTGTTGCCCCCCCCCCCCAAGCACCAAGAATACAGAGCATCATTTGCCCCAGACCGAGCGTTCCTATCTATACCTTGTGGCTAAGAGCCACCGATGGACTTCTGTTCCAGATGTTTATCCAATTCCCTCTTGAAGCTGTCCATGATTGTAGCCGCCACCACCTGCTGTGGCCGTGAATTCCATGTGTTAATCACTCTTTGGGTGAAGGAGGACTTCCTTTCATTGGTTCTAACCCGACCGCTCAGCAATTTCATGGAATGCCCACGAGTTCTTGTATTGTTAAAGGGAGGAAAGTCCTCCTTTCTCGACCTGCTCTATCCCATGCATAATCTTATAAACCTCGATCATGTCAGTCCTCAACCATCGTTTCTCCAAGCTACAGAGCCCCCAGCGCTTTAACCTTTCTTCATAGGGAAAGTGTTCAAACTCTTTATCATTCGAGTTGCCCTTTTCTGCACTTTTTCCAATGCTATAATATCCTTTTTGAGTTGTGGTGACCAGAACTGTACACAGTATTCCAGATGAGGACGTACCATCGATTTATACAGGGGCATTATGGTACTGGCTGATTTGTTTTCAGTTCCCTTCCTAATAATCCTGAGCATAGCGTTGGCCTTTTTTATTGCAGATCCTAGCCACTACACCCTGCTGGCTCTCAAGCAAAGGGGGAAACCACGTTCATTGACCTAAGCTCTTTAGAGGGACCTAGATGCCTTTTCATAGCACTCTGAAGCATCTGCTCAGCATAGCGTTGGCCTTTTTTATTGCAGATCCTAGCCACTACACCCTGCTGGCTCTCAAGCAAAGGGGGAAACCACGTTCATTGACCTAAGCTCTTTAGAGGGACCTAGATGCCTTTTCATAGCACTCTGAAGCATCTGCTCTCACATTTTTCTGAGCTGTGGGGTGGTTTGGGGATAGCGCGAGGCTTTCCTTTTTGAAGCCAAGTCTTCAGAAGGCCTCTCCCCTTCACAGAGCAACCTCAACTGCTCTTTGGAGCCCAGTCCGGGCCTTGGTGGGAGAGTCGCTGTGGTGGTGATATAAATAAAACCGAGCAGATGAGCTCTGCAGAAGAGTATTTGCGTCTCTGCAAATCTGCTCTCGAAAGTAAAGCAATTTCCTTTTTATGAGCGTGGTGGATGGATGATAATTCACCGCCCTGATTGGAACGGTGCCCGTTTCATGACTCCGCACAGTGCTTGCCCTAGAATCGCTTTAAACGCAGCCGCAAGATACTTGTGGGGAGGCAGCATCCTCCCACCACCACCTTTGCTCCATTCCCTCCCCCCCCTTCTGAGAGTCACTTTGGTATAGTGGTTCAGTGCGCAGACTCTAATCTGGGAGAATTGGGTTGGATTCCCCACTCCTCCACTCGCACCTGGCTAGATGACCTTGGGCAAGCTGTAGCTCTGATAAGAGCTGTTCTTGAAAAAGAGCAGTTTGTGTCAGAGCTCTCTCAGCCCCACCTCCCTCCCAGGATGTCTGTTGTGGGGAGGGGAAGGGGATTGTAAGCCACTCTGAGACACCTTTGGGTAGTGAAGGGCAGGGTAGAAATCCAATCTTCTCCCCCTCCTCCTCCTCTTCTTCCTGCCTCGCTCGGGTCATGCAAACGTCCTTGATTGAGTCGACCCGTCCCATATTGGGTCTTTTCCTAGCATTATTGTCTTTTCCTGTGAGACTTGTCTTCTCACAATGCAATCAAAGTATACTAGCCTTACAATGCGATCAAAGTACACTAGTTCTGATAAGAGCTGTTCTTGGAAAAGAGCAGTTTTTGTCAAAGCTCTCTCAGCCCCGCCTACCTCACAGGGTGTCTGTTGTGGGCAGGGGAAGGGAAAGGAGTTTGCAAGCCGCTCAGACACCTTTGGGTAGTGAAGGGCAGAGTATAAATCCAATCTCTTCTTCTCTAGCAGTGTTTCCCCAAAAGATTTTTCTGCAACCCTACGGGGTCCCCAAGTATGGAGAAAAATCTTTCTTTCAGCTTAGGCCAGAGATCCATGGGTTTAGGTGTCCACAGTTTTGCCCACACTTCATAAATCGATATATATCTGAAAATACTTGGTCAAGATTTTATAAATGGTTCGAAGAGTGCAAGAAATAAAATGTACAGACTCATAAAGCATTACAAGGACTTACAAACTATAATCTTTTATATATACAGTGAGATAAGGTGAAATGGATACAAATAAGTCAAAATTAGGTATGAGTTTTGTTAACAAGAAAATGTAAGAATACTTGGATACCGACATTATATGTTTGTTCGATTTTAACAATAAAAGTTTTGAAAAAGAAATCGATATATAGATATTGTCATCTACCAGGTGTGCTTAGGAGGAGATTGGATTCAGAAGTATACCTCACTTCAGCAGTAAAAGAGTGATATTCAATCTGCACACTATTTATTATTCTGATTTATACCCCGCGAGCATGCTCAGGGTTATTGCAACTGAGAGAGCTCTTGACAGAAACTGCTCTTTTTCAAGGACAGCTCTTATCAGAACTATGGCTTGTCCAAGGTCATCCAGCCAGGTGCAAGTGGAGGAGTGGGGAATCAAACCCGGTTCTCCCAGATTAGAGTCCGCGCCCTTAACCACTACACCAAACACCAAATTTAGGTCTTGCAAGAGACTATCCTCTGCAAAGTACCGTTAAAAGAAATCCCTCACCACACCTTTGGTGTAGTGGTTAAGTGTGCAGATTCTAATCTGGGAGAATCGGGTTTGATTCCCCACTCCTCTGCATGCAGCTGCTGGATGACCTTGGGCAAGCCATAGTTCTGTCAGAGCTGTCCTTGAAAGGGCAGTTCTTGAAAGAGCTCTCTCAGCCCCACCTACCTCCCAGGGTGTCTGTTGTGGGGAGGGGAAGGGAAAGGAGAGACTGTAAGCTGCTCTGAAACTCCGAGTGAAGGATGGGGGTATAGATCCAATCTCCTCCTCCTCCAACATTACACAAGTCCAGAATTTTATCTTCCCTGTGAATGAAATGTGTCTGTTTGCTATCCTTCCTGCCACTAGCAAAGGGCACTTTCAGTATTGGA